TAGGGGACAGTAGAAGGTCCATTGACCTCCATCTTCCCAGACGAGCTTGTGATAGGGTTCCGGAGGGAGCTTGGACGCAACTGATAGTCGTGGCCAGATTGAGGCCCCATGGTCATAGTGACAACGGCGGGGAGAATCGCCCCGAGATCTACTAGTTTGGAGGGAACCATCTTGAGGAATGCTTCGATATTGCCTGGGATGGGCGGCAGTTCGATATCCAAGGGCATTGCCTGGGCGAATGATATCCAGCCATGTTGAGGTAAATGTCCATATTGCGTAGTGGGAATGATTGGGCACCTAGATACGCATGCCGGGAGCGAATTCCGTATCAGTTCTTCATTCCAGCTCGACCACCAGCGATACCGTTGGTGCTTGTCCCGGCTGAACAAGGTCTGTTGGTCTGGGTACGGCAGCATCCAATGCGTGCTGAGAAAGCGATGTTTCAGGCATGCTTGCCAGGAAGTGGCTATTTCCTCACCATAAATTTCTTGGATTTTGATCACACAGCGGCGGTACAGTGTACGATATGGTTTATGAGCCCAGTGCAGGCGGCTATACTCGTCAGGATGCAGCCCCCATAGCCAAGCAAATAAATGATCAACACGCCTAATGCCACAACGACTGCCAGTCAGGATGGCAGGAGGCCAGTGTGTGTCTTTTAATACCCGTTGTAGGGAGGGCTTGCTGAGCGCTACCTGCCCAGTCTCTGCAATGCTCTGAAATTCAGGGCGTATGCCCGCCTGCAAGACAGTCAGAATATCTTTCCGAAAGGCGCGCAGACAGAAGTCAATGAGGAGGGAGAGCAGCGCAGTAGACGCGGTATGGTCTCGCTGATACTGAATTATATACAGAAAATAATCCTCGAGTAGAAGAAAATCATTCTGGTATTTGCGGACGCGCTCGTAATTGACTCGAAACTGGGCCATGACCGCTGGTGTGTGGAGGTCCATGTGGAGACGATGGGCTGGGCGGAAACCCATAGTATCCCAGTGGATCTTGTTAAGGAACCAGCCATAGCCGTGGCGTTGAATAGTGGTTCCCAGTCCAATGCCCTCCCGATACTGAATCTGGCCATTGGACCCCGGAACTTCTTTCACGTCTTGCCAACACGCCCGGCTTTGCTCTAACCGGTTCCCGCCTCCGCCAAATGCCCGTCGGAGACAGCGGAGGAACAGGATCATTACCTGGGTGCGATCCCAGGACACCATAGAATGGCGCTGCAGACTATTTGTTAACTCGAATCCCGCACATAGCCGATTTATGTTCCACCGGACCCATTTAAGGATAGTCGCAGTGGAATGGATATAGAATGGTTGACTTGATGGATTTTGAACCACCCGTTGAGTCGCGCGGCGTCGCTGAAACTCCTGATTAATTTGGATCAGGAGGTCTTCGCGCACCCGATGCTCTTCCCGGGTCCCAAAAGATTTTCCAATAGATGCATCGATTGCAGTGGCACACCGGGACTTGCTGTGGATGTACGCGCGATGGAGGGTGTTTCGGTCATGAAAACCTTTCCCGATATGCTGCCAAGTTTGATATGACTCGTGGTCCAGGGCTGGAGCCTCTAACAGTGGATTACTGAAGGGGTACTGATTTCCAGCCGCAAAGATCTCTTTGACCGAGTTGTAGAACTGGCTGTAAAGGAGCCCGGTCTTACGGAGGTGAGATCTAGTCCGGGTTTGGATCGTCAAGGACCCTGTATCTCGGAGAAACGAGAAAGGATAAAATATTGTCTTCCCCGGGTTCTGGACTAGCGGGGAGCGGAGAAGCTTGTCTAGACAGCATTGTTTCCAGAGCAGAGTTTGCCCCCGGATGGGCTGGCCAGAATCGGGGGTAATAGGACATGTTTCCTTCCCAATATCAAAGAAGACCTCGTGAATATAACTCTGGTTGGCAGTGCTGCTCCATAACTGTTGAAACCGATGTTGCATATCGGACCAGGTCGCGGACTGTGTACGGAGCTTTAGGTTCTTAGCACTCAGGAAAAGACGAACCCCCTGGAATTCGTCTAGCCCCTTTGCTCGAATAATTTGATGAACAGCCTGCCAGATATGATCTAGGTGCTCGGGGGGCAGAAAGTAGCTGAGTAGCTGTTGACGGGACTGTGTCTGGATCGATCGGCCCTCCGCCCACGCCGCCCATGAGTTTGAGTTGCTATGACTGAAACTGGAAGGGAAATGCTGTAGCCGGGCATCGGAGTAGTATTGATGGACCGCTGGGAGGAGGATATCGTCTATCCAGACCCGAAACTGATCATCTGGCAGTCGGCTAGACTTCTGCTGGGGCTGATGGAGTCTAGGGAACAGGGCGTAGATCGATGCATCCTCGAATCCCGACACCCGGGCAAACGTGTAGTGCTTAACGCGATGTAGCGGTACTGAGACGCAATGTAGGTGACCGTGGCCATCTGTGAACTGAACCGGGAGTGGATCTAAGTGAAGATCCGACTGGAGGTCCGAGACCGGCCGCTGAACAGGATACCAGTAGAGGCCTTGGGAACAGACAGCTGGACTGGTTACATGAGCTAAGACACTGTCAATATCGAAGTGGACGGCTGCTGGCCCTAACTTCTGTTCTCCCCGGGCCAAGCAGATAGCAGGCACGCTGCTGGGTTGTCCCGCATCGGTTCCGCAGAAGACTTTTTCACGCTGTTCTGGTGGCCAGTCCTCGATCAATTGGTCACCAGACCTGGCCAGTCTGGTAGTGCTGAGCACGTCGGGACAGGGCCAGCTGAAGACCTCGTTCAGACCGTGGCTCGGTGATCCGACTGGGTTCCGCTCGTGCTTATATCGCGTATGGCAATCAATGCAGCACTCGGGAGACCGGAGGAGCTGTTCCGCGAGTAGCGCTCCGGTACTTTTCGTTTCTTGGTCTGGAGTGGGACTCTCTAGCTCGGTATCCGAATCGACGATGATGTCAGGATCTGGCACGTCCACATCAGGCCACACGTCATTCGTGTCGCTCAGAATACGTGTATGATCACAGCCGGACTGGTTAGGGGATCGGATCGGAGATTCTTCGTTATCCTCGCTGATCAGTGCCGCGGGCGATGATTCGCTAGTCCGTGAGGGATCGAGCGGATGATGATCTGGATTTGCGTTCACAGGTATGCTATCTGGCAAAATACAGGTCGAGTCGGCGGACAGAGATCGAGGGAGAGCGGCACTTCCAGGTTCAATGACTGCAGTTGGTGTGGGGCTCAGAGGAAGCGAGAGCGGCTGAATGTCTCCAGGCAGCGTGGGTTCCTCTCGGGGAAGGGCAAAAGAGGGAGTGGTAGGAAGAACAAGCCCAGCAACAGGCTCGGCGGTTACGTGAGCGAGATTGGCACAGTACGGACCGATTTGAGACGCATAGTTGGCAGCCTCGGCAGCCCTGGCGGACTGTCGCCGTCGCTGATGCCGTCGTTGAATCGTGCGAGCCTCGCGCCTCTGCTCCACGGATGGGTGTTTTCGTGGTCGGCCACGCTTTCGAATATTAGGACCTGTGGCTAGTAATGTCATGTTAAACTTGGCTCCTCAGCGGTCGATCGCACGTGGGGATGAGAAGCGCTGGATTCACCCCTGCAAGGCATGGTCAACAGGGCGGATGGAAATAGGGGCTGCAATGAATAAGTTCGCGGCACTAATTGAGGACACAAGATTCGATAGGTCAGAAAATGCATCTCTGATCAAAGAGTAAGAAAGTTACACTAATGACCAAAAGAGGTTTAACTTGGCACTATTCCAAAATCGGTTTAGCTGTCGCCGAAAATCGATCACTGTCGCCGAAATTATGAACTTCAAAAAGTCCCCAACTTCCCTACCTTCTTTTGGCTCAACCAGAGATGTTGGAGGAGTTTCAAGTGTGGATTCTGATTAAGCAGATCTTCTTTAACCTCTATCTACGAGACCAAATCCCTGCGACCCTGGGGTGGCTCTGGTCCTGGCCATGAATTACCCGTTAGAAAGTCTATCCACTAATCCGGAACAGGAAATCGTCACGCTACGCTATCTCAATCAGGAAATCGTCACGCTCTTGGCAAGAGAGTCGAAATCGCCAACTTTTCGACGGTGAGGTGCGACAGCAGAATCTATTCTGGTGTCATGAGTCGCATTGTTTGGCATTACTGATTGACCAGACAATGATCTAGAACAACCTTGGCGGATTCAAATGGTGTTTGGTGTCACAAACTTAAATGCTGGCCGGTACATGGAGGGGCCCATTGAATTGACATTTTTGAATTCACGTTTGAACTTCATCCGATATTGGTGGGGCGGGCCTTCCCAATCGGTCGAAACCGTCACTTAAGGTTATTCCTAATCGGTCAAAACCGTCACATAAGGTTATTACTTAAACCACCCACGCTAACCGCTTCAGTAAAACCGTCACATCCCCACAAGTTCTCTATTTCTGCCTTCGACGTTTGATCAAGACTTTGAAATTACACACTCATAGTTTGATCCATCCTCTGGTATCTTTCGTCAGTTTCTTCATTGGCTCTTCTTTTGTATTTCCGCAGATCACAATATTTTCCTTCATTCCACAATGTTGGTGACAGTGTGCAGAATCGAATGTCAACGTGTTCTTTTTCCATGAGATTGTCGCATCGTGGAGCTTCAGCCAAGGGATCCCGAGCAGAATCGGTTGCTGGCTCAACTTGGTCACAAAGCAGGGCAGAGTCTCTCTATGCCCCTGTATATTCATCGGTATTCGTGTCATATGAGTAATCCGCCCCGCGACTGATTGTCTTCCGTCGACAACCTCGAGTCGTCGCGGGTGGCGTAAAAGTTCCAGTTTCAAATCGTGTTTTTGCGCAAAAGTTTGATCAATAAAGGCCATTCCATTTGCTCCGCTATCGACAAGAGCATCTATCTGTATATTCTTTCCGCCCTTGTGGAGAGTACATGGCAGGATGAGGTGATGACCGTCTAGTTTCACCTTCTGCTGCCGCACAGAGCAAGCGGAGATTTTCATTGATCGCACTTCGTACTTCGTCCGTCCTAAATCGCGACTTCGATCTAGGACATCTCTTTTCCCTCAACGACTGTGCTCTCGTCATCGGTGTCGGATTCCATTGTCGCATTGTTTACCTTCGCCGTCCCGCGACCAGCAAGGCGTGGCATCTCCTTCATCCGCGGGTTTGTGCACTCGTGGATTCGGTTTCCGTGCTCACCGCACCTATAGCACCGACCATCCTGGGCGAGCAAGGCACGATCTACCGAGCGCGGAACATAGCCTTCAGATCGCGAGGCGAAAGGCGTCTGTCTTGAATGTGGTCTAACGAACTGCAGGCTTGTTCGTGCATTTGCTTCACGGTTCGGCAATCGTCTCCCGTAATCACGCATCTCGTGGTCAACATCGCGGTAAAAATCCACCAAGTCATAAAATTCGGTGGGCTTCTGCAATCCGAAGACTTGTTGCGCCAGTTCGTTTGATATCGCATTTTCGAGTAGGGGTATCATTGCATCGTCCGCATATCCGACTTCCGCAGCACAGCGGGCGAAATCGGCATGGAAATCGTGAAAGGTCTTTCTTCCCATACGCAGGGTGCGTAGTTCGTTGGTCGCTCGTTTCCTCTTGTTCTTGTCCCCATAAATCTTGTCTAAAGCTTCTAGGGTTTCGTCGGCTGATTGAAAACTGCGCGGATGATCTGGTCGGCATTGGGCTCGGATTTGTTGATACGCGATACCATCAGTGCGGCTACGGATGTAGGCAACCCGTTGCTGTTCGGTTGGATACTGGGTGGCGCTGTTATTCAGCTTGTCATAGACCTTGTCTCGCCAGCTATCGAACGAGCTGCGATCTCCCGAGAATACGGGCGCATCAGGGAACTTTGGATTATCAAAGCGTTCTAGGCTGGCCGTATACAATCTATGAGAAGCATTTCGTTGTGTTGGTTCAATTTGCGGCCCTGGAGAGCCACGACGCTGGGGAGCACGATTCTGGCTGTTTCCCTCTGAAACTGCCGTCGCTTGTCTCGTCGTACTCATGAGCGCAATGATTGACTGATCTCGATCATGCTCTCGATAGGCTCCATCCAACTTCAAGGTCAATTCCTCGACTCGTTTTTCTGCTAGATCTCTCTGCACCGTCATTCGGTCTCTTTCCCGCCGCATTTCCCGATTGTCCTCGCCTAAACGTATGACTTCTTCACGGATCACATCATCCGTCACTTGATTTGTATTCATTTTGGCTTGCTTGTCCATGGCGATTATAATGTCCCACCAGAACTCGAAATGGTGTCGCCATCGCGCCAATTGTTGTGCTCTGTCTAGGAAACAGATCGCTCGAGCAGGGCGTAACGGGTAATTCGGGCTCACGTAGTCAAACGCATCAATCATCGGGGTCATGCCCACATTCTCTGGTGCTGTTGTCTTGTCGCCTTCATTACTGGGCTGGTAATCGTCGTCGTCAGAGCCGTCATCATCGACGACGGTAGCTTCTCGTGCCATCGCAGTTTCTCTTCTTGTTCGTCCCCTCCGTTCCACGTCCTCGGGTCCTCGAGCATTGGCGAGTTCGTTGGATTTGGACGTCATAGTGTCTTTGTTGTCGTCGGTTGTCTGGGTTGGCGCTACGTAATGTGAGGATCTCACGTATGCGTAGTTGAATGATCAATATTAAGAACGCTATTGTCTATTCTAGATACAAGACCTAGCGCGAGGAAGCAAAAGAAAGGTAGCTTCCTCGCATTCAGGGGAACCCATATACACCATGTGGTCCCGCAGATCATATCTCCATCCGTCCTGTATGCTTCATGTATATCCCTGACAGAGCAGCTTAAAGAGCCCGAAGACGACACCCAGGCAGTCGAGCGGCAAACCAAGGGAATTGGACGAGCGCGCCTGTTGCTTACTCGGTCACAAAATGTAGTCGAGCGGCTGGCCTGCATGGTTGCGTTTCTTACGCGGCGCACGGCACAGATGCAGATGTTCCCCGAGGTAGCTTATATATACAAGCTCGGGATGATGGGAAGCCAGATGCCTCCTTTTAGTTCGGGGGGCAAGTCGTGCTACCATGAATTGAGTCTGGGCGACCCTTGTTGGTACCGAGGTGGCAATTACAGCTGGTGCTACTCTGAAGCTGCGGGCCTGTCAGCTAATGAGGGATGTACTTCTCCAAGAGAGATGGATTGATGGCTGGGAAGATGTGGAGAGGATAGCGAAGCGACACTTGTGGGATGAAAGCTCTCTCGCTGCATGGAAGAGCCATTGGATGAGCTACAGGAAATCGGAGTAGTTTTCAGAACTCATTAAAAGATATATATGTAGACTGATTTTAAAGTGAAAGACTCTCTCTTTACACGTCCAGATCAACATAGCCAAACAGCTTCATCGTCTCTGCGTCGTCTGCCATCCGTTGGGCCCAGGCCGTCATCGCCTTCACAAAGACTTGCACATTCTCCTCCAGGCTCATATCAATCGGCTCATGTCCTTTACCTACCTGTCGCATCTGACTTCCCGCAATGATATTGGTCAAGGCAAAGTCATCTTGGTTGACCTTTGGGTCGATAGCACCGGTAATTTTACCATTCAGTATGTCCTTGGTCAGACTGAACTCCTGTGCGACCACCCGCCCAAGACCAACCCCATCAACTGTCTTCAGCGCTTCCAACATCCCTTGTAGTGTTCTGAACCCTCCAGTAATATAGGTCTTTGTCTTGCTCAGCGCAGGAACAATCATGTCCGCGAACTCCAGGAAAAACGCTTCCCGCTTTCTGGTCGACTCGCGCTCGTGCTTGAAAGCCATGGCCTGGTATGTGCCGCCGCTCAGTTCGACAAAGTCGAAGGTCGCTTCTTCGAGCATTTGGCAGAGCTCTCGTGCTTCCTCCACGGTAAACCCGTCAGACTGGAACTCCACACTGTTGATTTTGATTCCTAGAATGAAGTCCGGAGTTGTATTTGCGCGAATGCATTGCGCAATCTCCATGATTAGGCGGGCACGGTTCCGAAGACTACCACCATACGCATCGGTGCGAAGATTGGTGGTGCGCGAGAGAAATTGGGAAAGGAGATATCCGTGTGCACCTTGCAGTTCAATACCGTCGAATCCGGCCCGCTGCAGATACTGCGCCGCGAAGGTGAAACTGCGAACAATCTCATTTATTTCTTCCTGGGAGGCGGGATGGGGTTTCGCGAATTCGAGGCCGAGAAATTTTCCCTGGAGCTGCACATCACTCGCAGAGACAGGATTGGGCTGTATTCTGCGGTCAACCTGTCGTCCTGGGTGCGTGACCTGGCCCGTAATGAGGCTACCGTGAGCCTTTGCGAGGGAAGCGAGCTTGGCGAAGGCTTCAAAACGTGGCCCCTCAAAGGGAGCGTCTGTGGGAATGATGAGATTTCCCGCGGCTTCAAGCTGGTCATATGCCAACATGATATTGCCCGTCAGGATATGACCGAGTTCGCCTTCGCCCCATCGCTGGTACAAATTGTGTATCGCAGTCGAGGGAACTCCGCGAGCCTCTTTATTCTGGGGATCCCAGGAACTCAGCTTTTCAGTCATTGAGGCTTTCAAGAACCTATTGGGGGCTGTTCTTTGGCTGAACTCGAAGCGTAGCGGTTGCACCAGAGGCGAAACATCTTCGACTTGGGAGTGGAAGCGGGACGCCATTGTTTGTGGTTGGAATCGGGATGAACTCGGGATGATAAAAAGAGAAGTGGGCTTAAGTAGGTATGATCTTTGTGTAAGCCTATACATCTACAACAAGGACGATTGAAGACTTTATAGAATTCCATACTCAACTACATTCTTTTACGAGGTAATATTACTACTCCATTTCCTTCTCCGGGGAGGCCTGTCTTGGAGTGATAGTCCAGATCCTTGGCCCAATAATTTCTAAGCTACCAAATACGCAGACAAGATCTTAGAAATCTTAGAAATTCTCCCAGCCCGGCACATTCCCTCCATGTTGTGCCTACACTTGGAGAACCTTGCAACTCTCTAGACCTCGCCAAAACCGCGGGTCGGGTTTCGATCCTTGACCCAAAACCCGCCAAGAGCTTTGAATACACGTAATATATACCAAATTACAAAACTTTATATGAGGTATATAATGTATTACGTATGTAATTCTGTAATTTACAAGCTCGTGGGTTCTTGGCGGGTTCGCGGGTACCCGTAGGGTACCCAAATAAGCAATATGGCGAGGTCTAGAACTCTCCATGAACTGGTTGGGCCCGAGCCCGCGGGCGGGCCGATAGCTTCACTTCCTAATCGAGAGTTTACTTCTGGCTAATGAAATGCATGTAGGGTACCCGAAAAAGCAATATGGCGAGGTCTAGAACTCTCCATGAACTGGTTGGGCCCGAGCCCGCGGGCGGGCCGATAGCTTACTTCCTAATCGGGAGTTTACTTCTGGCTAATGAAATGCATGTCCACCACACCTTCGCTTGGAGTTTATTATTGAGGTCCCCACATCTCATGGTCGAGAGTCGAGTCTACCACATGAAACATGATCGACCAATATCGGTCAGCAACCACGTTGTGCAGTCAGATTCTGAAGAATTCAAGTGATCGGTAGACTCAGTTTGAAGGAGCACCCGTGGACAGGCGGCCAAGCTGACTGACTAATGTGCTCTGTTCACTCTAGCGCACCCACCCTGGAGCTGTCATTCCATCGCCAAATTTGGCTTTACAGCAGCCAAGGGTCAAGCTTTCTTGCGATTTTTAATCCAAAAGGCTTCATTACCTAATTTATAATATCCGCTGCTGCCAGAATTTAGTCTACTGCTCATGACGCAAGGACATTCTTGGCCCGATTTGTCATAAGATGAACTACATGAGTAAATATATAAACGCTGCATTTTCCATTGACAAAAGCACCGATACATCACAATCATAACTTCTTTCATCAGCTATTAGAAACCCTATCTCTCTGCCTGTCATGTCTTCACTACGTGTCGCTCTCGTTGGCGCTACCGGGAACCTCGGTCCCGCCATCCTGCAGGCCCTTCTTGCAGCCTCGCTCGAAACTACAGTCCTTACACGAGTAGGAAGCGCTCACAAGGTCTCCGTCCCATCTGGTTCCGAAAAACTTTTGAAAGTTCAAGAAGTCGATTACAGCTCGCACGAGTCTCTAGTTTCCGCCCTCAAGCCTGTTGGCGTGGTTGTATCAACCCTCGGCTTCGCGGATCTGTTCAACATACAGAAGAAGCTAATTGATGCCTCTCTGGAGGCAAACGTCACCCGCTTCATTCCTTCCGAGTTCGGAAATGATTCAGCAAACCCACTCGTCCGAAAGCTGCCACTCTACGCGGACAAGATCAAGACGCAGGAGTATCTACAGGAAAAAGCTGCCCAGAATCCAGGATTCAGCTACACATTCGCCTACAACAACTCCTTCCTCGACTGGCAGCTTCAAATTGGTTTCATGGTCAACCTCAAAGACCACAGCGCTACACTCTACGATGGTGGTGACGTCCCCTTCTCCGCGACTCGGCTTGCAACGATCGGACAGGCCATAGTTGGAATCATCCAGAATCTGGAAGCCACCAAGAATGAACACATCTACTTCCACGACATCGGCGTCACCCAGAACCAGCTGATTGAAATCTCAAAGCGCATTGACGGGAAGGAGTGGTCAACGACCGTTGTTTCGACCGCGGACGTTGAGCAGAAATCTTACGACATGCTCAAGAGCAGCGATCCTGCGGAGGTGGCCAACTCGGCGCTCGGATTCATTGCCCGGGCCTGCTGGGGCGCAGGGCACGGAGGTGATTTCAGCGACAAGGTTAGCAATAAGCTTCTTGGAATTCCGGGAATGAGCACAGAGGACCTTGAGAAGCTGGTTCGGGAGATTATGGCTTGAGCTCAGAACAACCTGCCATGGCAGATAATTGCCATTTGAAACAGGTGCTGTAGGGGGATTCTCCTTGTTCATAGATTTCCTGTCACGAAGAGAAATGAGAGTTTTTCGCCACAGTAATCCTGCAGGGTAGTTCGAGTATTAGTTCTCGTTATTGTCCGGGTAGAATTGAAGCGGAATTTCTCCAAGTTGAGGTGCCATATTCTCTCTGAACCGCAATATATTTTGCCATAGTTGAACGTACTTCTACATCGTAGCAGACGTTATATGCCTATCTATATTTTCCCCAATTGCTCATCAACAACGCCCCGAATGTAGATTTGGAGAGGAACTGGATATGGGCCCATTTAATGCCAAACCAGGCAGTTCCCCTTGGGCTGCGGATAAGGGACCAAAACCAAAGCGCCTGCGCGACTCTGGGGTCGGAGTGATCCGGATGTCTTTACTTCAATGTTCTAGAGTCAGAAGACGGGCAATGAAGGTGTAGGAGTACAGTGGCGGCCTCCTACTCAATCAAAGAGCGGCATTGGCAGTAAAGGTTCGTAGCCCGCTTAATCGTCTCAAGAGTCCGATTTCCACACTAGCTCAGTATCTGTTGTTAGGCGAGGCCATGCCGAATGCCCAGTTCCCTGAAACCTTGGCCCTAAGGAGGGTGGTCTGCGGGTCCGGCACCAACTCCACTTTCCCAAAGAGGAGTTTACTTCTCGCGGACCCGGGGCGGGGCAGACGCAGCATGGCGGAAGGCCACTGAGCAATTGAGGTGTCAGGTGCAACATGCCTGTTGAGTAAAGGCCTTAGTGGCGTAGTCCGGCTTGGGTCGTGCTTTTTGTGCCGTGCTATGATGAGTAAGAGTTTGCGCTCTTTGGTGTGAGAATGGCCCTGACGAAAAAAATTTACTCTAATGGTGCTTCTGTGACCTCCACAGGAGTCAGGTGAAAATCAACCTGGAAAAAGAAGGAGGTCCAAAGAAAAGACGCCGGGGGGGGAGAATCGCGTGACAGAACTCTGATTTCATCTATGACAAACCAGCTTGGGCCAGCCCACCAGGTCTGTTCCCAGGCAGCAAACTGTCCTTTCCAACGTCCATTCGTCTTCCCTATCAGCCCCAGCTTCATCTGAAATATCATATCCTCGGAAGTTCTATGCCGTGTCGTTAAGTATAGTAAGGCTGCGTTAGGCACCGGTTGCGATAACTATTATTAGTGTTTGGTTACCTGTATTGAAGTGAACAAGACTAGAAACCGCATCGCTTGCCATATCAGCGACATATCAGGATTATACACCGTTTGCGACGCTGGATTGAGACGACGAAATACTAGCCTTGAAGGGCAAATATAAGCGTGGCCATGGTTTACAGAGTTGGAGGACTCGAATATTCCCTCAAGGACCTGCCGTCTGAGGGTGAAAAGTCAACCCATTCACGACCTCCATATGTCATAGGGCGTGCGCTCTATCGCCGGTAAGTCCTATGGATGCTGCACCGCGGTTAAGCAGCAGACTATTAGAGAAATGGAGAAGCCCAAGGCACCCCCATCAACAATTAGTCATATGCACAGAACGTATACCTCCTATGCTAGGTTAGTCCATTTTCAAAGTAAGCGACATAATTAATGGTTAGTGTGTGGCGTTAACAGCGCCCGGCGGGCACCGCGCCGCGACACGACCCAATTTCCCAAATAGGGTTTTACTTTCAACCAATGACAATATTGCACATGGTATGCAAACCTCGCATCCAAGAATTAAATATCACAGGCTAGTTGTTAGTAATCCATTGTTTCTTTTGCTAGAGAGATAATACCGAAGTGACTGGCAAATCTTGTGGCAAGCGGCATGATGACAGACAGCGACATTCACCATTTAAACCATTTAAACTGGGTTTGTTAGGCATTTGCTTCTTCTTCATCACCTTTCCAAAGTGAGCGTCTGTCTCTCGCGAGTTGATCTCCTCTCCCCCCGCTGCCTACGACTTTGGCACCATCGACTGATCTCATCAGTCTGCGAGTTCTAGTCGTATAGAGTGATTATGGCAGAAGACGAGTACGACGTAAGCCCTTATGACGATATTTCTATAGCTATTTTGACAAGTATTCCCTAACTTAACTGGTTTGTAGTTTCTCTTCAAATGTCAGTAACCTTGGTGCAATTAGCCCGTCCATATAATTACCCCTCCACTGCACCATTGTATCTCGTTTGTATCGCGACTGACATGGTGTGATATATTTTGTACGACAGTGGCGCTTATCGGAGACTCTGGCGTTGGCAAATTCAACCTCTTAGGCCGATTCACACAAAACGAATTCAAGCCCGACTCCAAGACAACCATCGGCGTCGAATTTGCAACACGCTCTATGCAAGTTGATTCTGTGAAAATTAAAGCTCAGATTTGGGATACCGCTGGGCAGGAACGCTATCGGGCAATTACGAATGCTTACTATCGCGGTGGTGTTGGTGCGCTCCTCGTTTACGATATCAGCAAGCGGCAGATATATAAGAATGTTGGCCGGTGGTTGCAAGATCTCCGGGACGGTTCGAGCTCCAACATTGTTACCATGCTAGTGGGCGACAAAATTGATTTGGGTCATCTGAGGGCTGTATCGACTGAGGAGGCCAAGAGATTTGCCAGTACGTTATTTTTCAGTTCCATCATTTTCCCCACAACATAGGGAACGGTCCGAAAGGCTAAGTGTGATAGGCGAGAATAACCTGTCCTTTATTGAGACCTCAGCGTTAGACCCCAGTAATGTGGATGTCGCCTTTCATGAGCTTCTTACTGGTAGGGACTTGCTTGCAACCCTTGTGTAGCGACGCCTTAATAGCTAACGTTCTTAAATACATATATCATATCACCTCCAGACGCCCAATTAATGAAGCCAAATCTGCCGGCACTTCTGTCGGAGAGCGCCATAGGGTAATTGACATTAAGAACGAAAAAGCCCATGTCGGCGAGAACAGCGGGAGATGTTGCTAAATGGTGTGGATGTAAATTGCATCAAACACTGGCTCTTGGGCATTGTGATGTAGCTTTTAATGAGGATTCCTTCTTCAGCCAAGCACATAGTATGCAATCATAGATTCTGACTTGAGTAGTTTGCATTCTGTAGCTCTATGCTAGGACTATCTTTGACGAACAGGAAAAGAACTGCGAGCCAGTGTCAGGTCCAAGCCCTGTTCCTGCGGCCTGAAGTAAAAGTTAGACGTTGCGGAAATCCTTACAGAATATAGCAGACTAACTAGCGAACACTCCACCGTCCACATTAAACGTAAACCAATTATTTCAAGACATGGAGCTGACACCATGTACCGGTATAGTCACCAATGCCGAGCCGTCCGTGGTTTATTTCCTCTCTTTAAACTCAGATGTCTTCCTATCCGTAACTTGGAGCAGCAGACTGACTGCAACCAGAGCACTGCCGGCATGGCATGCAAGTTACCCCTTTTTCAAATCACCACCACACAATACCCGCTATCTATCTTTGTTGATTACTGATTGTCTCATAAGGATGCGCTTGGCAGCACAGACCTTGGAGTCCAGAATGCTTGATTAGAGTTGGACAGTGGTGCTGTGGCTATATCTAGGAGTGACAGAAATAGTGCATTGTGTGACTCCTCAAGTAAGACTTTTGGAGCTGATTTGATCTCACGGCGGAATATCCACTATGCGGGCTGAAGCCTTTCGCTTCTGTCATCTAGTGAATATTTACCGCTATATAAGCTGCATTGACTGCTGAAAGGCCACCTAAAATCTGGTTTACCCTACGATTCCTTTTCACGTCTAGAGATAAAATCTTCATCGTTCCGACAACTAAATCTACACTGATATAGTGCTATCATGGCAACCAGTACAAGTGGCTCCTTCTTCCTGAGCCATGGCCTGGAAGTTTACTCAAGAGTCTGGGAAGTGAGTAGAGCAGCTCAGTAGAGCTATCTCTTCCCCTGTCTGTCACGGGTTCGATAGAACTGATGCAGTCACAATTTAATTATGGCCCACATACTCCCCCATCAAATCACACATCGCCTTCCTGCACGGCTTCGGCGACCGCTGCGATCAATACGACGCCTTCTTTTCACTACCCGTTGCAAACTACCCCATCAAAGTGCATGCCTGGGACCGACGAGGCTGGGGAAAGACCGTGAGAACAAGAGCGCAAATGGGGGACACAGGAAAAACACCACAAGTCATTACCGAGATTCATGAGACCTTGAGTTAAGTTACATTGCTTCTACAATACCCGATTTTAGGCAGACTCCCCTGTTTCTAATGGGCCACAGCATGGTCGGGCAGGAATCTGCTTTCTATCTTTTGAATCCAGACGTGGACGGATATCGGCCCCCAATTACAGGCTGGATCTTGGAGGCGCCGTATATTGGACTCGATCCGGCTATCCATCCAAATCTCATCATCGTTGCCGTCGCCAAGCAAGTTGCGCGTGTCTTTCTCAAGTTGAAGTTTACTCAGCCAGTGACTGGCGAGTTTGTCACTAGAGATCGCGATGTGCGCGAGAGGTATCGCAGCGATCCACTCTGCCACAATACTGGCACTTTGGAGGGATTGCAGGATTTGTAAGTGATCCTATAGAACTGGTATAATACCCATGCAGAACATTACTAAAAAGAGCATGGTTCCTTCCGTGTAGGCTTCAACGCGAAAGTGACCTCACCAAATTGTCTATGTCAGACCAGCCTGTTCCCTCTGGCGTCAGCGCACGCCTTCCTTGCCCTGTATTCTGGGCACATGGCTCGGCAGATATGATTACCTCCTATGCCATTTCGAAGAGGCTTTATGAGCGACTCGAACCAGGCAATGAGGCTGATCTGGACGCGAAGACGTGGAAGTCATTCGAGGGCGCGTTTCACCAGCTCCATTCTGAGCCTGATGGCGTGACAGAGGAATGCATGTGAGATGTTGGCGAATGGGTTGCTAAGATAACGGCCAGGTCCTTGGCTGCTGGACAGAACACTGAGAAGACACCGCTTATTGTTGCCTTTTGAGCTGGGGTGTTATCGAGATCTTCGTGATGAGCGACTGCTTGGTATCGTTCCACTTGGAAACACGCGTAAGATTCTTCTGAATCTGCATGAATTATGTATTTCAGTCCCTGTGGCCTTGACATACGAGATGTTTATAAGTGGTCAATCGAGTATTACAAATTCCTGTAGTAGTGCCAGATGATTGCTACCTAGTACTATGTGCTATACTTGATGAAGCTCTCCGCAGCAGCCAAAATCGCCTGCTTATTACTATGCTCGAATTTCCACCCAAGAACCCTCTCAGTCTTATCCGCAAATATCCTCCATCAACCCCCAATTCACGCCCAATTAGCTTCGCAATCGGTGTAAACATTCCCAGTAATCTGATTAGCAAAACTGGCAACTTTATAGTAGGGACCTTAGCCCCCCTCTCCCCTAGATTTCTTTCACCATTCTTGCAATATCGCTCATCCACAGTGACCCCTCATCTATACATTTAAACCATTCCCCCGCAGCTTTGGGCTCAGTCATGGCAAGCAAATGCATCCGCGCGCAATCACGAGCATCATTGATCCCCTACTGAATCCCGGGAATTCCCGGTGCTGTTCCCATCACCAAATTACCTACCGCGCGCAGAGAAGTCCCATCACCTTTACCTAATGCAGGACCGAGGATTACAACAAGGTTAATAACCGTGATCTCCATGGCCGGTACCTGCGACTCCGAGTCCGAGTTCGAGTTCGATTCAGAGTTCAAATCGAGGCGTTCGCACTCCCTGGTCCCCAGAAAGTCCCACGCCGCACGCTCAGCTAGCGTCTTAGACCTCCAATAGATCTCAATTCTCCCCAGCGGCCCAGAGAGTCCTCCTCCATAAACTCTCTCTTATGTTTATTTCCCGGTCCGTGGAAAATCGGGCCGAAGCTACTTGCTATCACGACACGTTTGATGCTGCGTTGTCTGGATGAAAAGTGTAGAACACGCTTCGTGACCTCTACCGCCGGCTTAAGAACATCATCTTCGTTGTTTTACCGGGCACTGGGTAAATGTGAGGCGATGCGTTGGACATATTGCACGTCTTTGAGAGCAACTTTCTACCCCTCATCGGTTAGGAGGTCTGCCGTATCGATTGCCAAGGTGCAGTGGAGGTGGGCTTTGCTGATCATGGCAGAGAGGAGGGAGGCGCGCATTTCCTGTTCTCGGGTGGGGTTGCGGGTTGTTGTTCGTACGCGATAGTTTTGGTGGAGGAGATGTGCTATTACCCATTTTGGGAGGCAATATGTGCCGCCGGCTACTAGGACTGGGAATTCCATTTCTGGAGCCTTCGTCTCTTAGTGTGAAGGGTTCTCGTTGTGAGGAAGGGGAGCAGAAGTGTGGCGGAGTGTTTTGATTGGTCCATGCACGCTAATGTATGCACCACTCGATCATTGTAATAGTATCAAGTTATGCGAATTAGTTAGTATATCTGCCCATGACACATTGATGCATAGCTGTCTCTGCACTTTAAGCCTCTGCCATGAAATGACGGGGGTAATCGGATATATTAGTTCCATCAAGCTAGATAGGTAGGCACGGTCCGAGAATTTCCGGCCGTGACCCTGTTATCCTGTACTTATTACTGAGTCTTAGAGTGTGAGCAGCGAGCCAAAGCACCAGCAGAGTAGGGCTATTTCTAGAAGCATCTCGTCTCGTCGGCGTGAACTCCTGTTCAGTAATCCACCATAACAAATCTTAGATGAATCAAATATAGGCACCACCCTGTGATCAAAAAGTCCTTGGTATCTAATGAAAATTTTGACGTTTTCTGAGTCGGCAGTACTATTACAGGTGTGGGTGCAAAATTACTCCATATCACGTCCACACAAGGATTGGCTCACTCCACCAAACCTTTGTTGAGCACTAACCCTTTTGCTTTCTCCAACCCCAGCACATATCAATATAACTCAGAATGATGCAAGTACCTCATCCTTCGCAAAGAAAGAGTCCGTTCTGCCTCTGGCAAGGAATGGGAGCAGTGATCTCGTCTCCAGCGCCGTCTCCAGCGCCGTCTCCTAGCCTAACGAGCTAGATAGTGCTGGTCGATGTTTCAAACGAGCATGAGCCTCGCACCTCCGCAGATATGTCTATTAGACAATTCATACTAGATCAATCGAGACTGTAAGTAGCTACGTACCTAAGAAATCTAAAGGGGGTATTTTAAGGAGGCTTGATGGCCTACGGGGGCTGATGTTGTATGGCTATATTAAGCGTATAGTAATCCATATAATAACGAGTCGCGCTACAAAACATCGCATGCATCCATATCTTGAGCACTAGTTAACCCTCCCTCTCATCTTGATAGTAGCTCATCCAGTACCTTTTCCACGCAGCCAAAGTCTTCCGATTCCATAAGAACCGTTTAACCAAGTCTTCGATATTACCCCAATCATTATCAATCAAAGGCTCCTTGAACAGAAACTCCCTCATCAAGTCATTAGCATGCCTCTTCAACGTCGCACCTCCCGTAATCGCATTCTCAGCCGTTGCAAGAACAACCCAAGCCCGTAGTTTGCGACAACAGATAAACAACCCCGCATTATCAAACAACTGTGTCTGCCTGCCCAGACTCTTCACCCTGTTTAATAGCGATGCTTCTGGGAAAAATTTCAATTGGGCCGTGCCCCATGATAAGAATGCGACCATGCCTAGGCAAGCTAGCTCCTCCACGGGGTTATTGGACCAATTCGCTAAAGCGCGAGCGTGTTTTATCCACTCAGTCTGTCGTTCCGCGACTTCTGCCATGTCGTGGTAGTGTTGGAGGCGGAGCTGTTCTTTTAGGAGGAGGAGAACTTCGACGCTCATGTTTCCTGTTTCTGCTAGGTCGCGGAAGCCGAGGGGTAAGTTGTCTATTAGGGATTGGATGTCTGTGTTGGTTTGTTTGCCGGGTAGGGGGTATCGCAGCTCTAATGCCTCCATGCTGACGCTTGAGGGGATAGTGGTTGGTGAGTGGACGGAGGACTGGTACCCGTATAGAGCACTTTCATGTCTGAGATTCGATGCCATTTCGGTCCCCTCTACCAGCCCAACCGCTTGCATGACATGCAGGTCTTCCAAGGAAGCTGTAGTTGAATCCGCATCCAGACTCGTACTTGCACATTGAGCCTGCGTCTGCGCTTTGGCTCTCAAATGCACCATCTGCAAAAGACCCAAACAATGAGCCCTGAACTCCGACTCATACCCAAACCTCGCCGCCCCCTCCATAAGATAAAATGTCGCCAGGATGGTTTCATTCGCAGTCCATATAGCTAATTTGTCCGGCGCCTCTGTGGATATTTTGGCTTGTAGGCCTTTTAATGCCCTGGCTTTGTGCCATAATATAGCAGGGCTGGGTGTTTCTTTATCTTCTAGCGTTGTGGCCCTTATACCGTATGAAAAGGCGGCCACTGCGTCGAAGAGGGTTGTTTCGCTGCAGATGACCTGCACCCAGGAGCGCATTGAGGGGGTAGGACCCTGTCCCCAATTTGTTGCGCGCTCGATGAGCCAGTGGATAACTGTTTATTTTTAGCTATGGGATGATTCAACTAATCAAAGCATGGAGCATGGAGTATAATGCTGACCGGGGATCTAGCATGCAGATTCATGATGCTTGGGAACGGGGCAACGTGCACAAGTGCATGTGAGGGGCAGAACTCACTAAAATCAAGAATATGAACAACCTTCTGTCGATGTTCAGGTGGGTAGGCTGGGACGTAGCATTCTACTACTGGCCGGATCAATTGAGTATCATCATCATTATCGGCACGTGGCTCTGAAGTGCCGAAGTCTTCTAATACAGGGTCAGTCTCTCCTTCAAAGTGGGGTCGTCTGTTGCCACCTTCTCTTAGTGGATGCCATTTGGATCGCCCTTTGATGGCTACGAGCACCTGTGGACTACTTTTTCCTGGGGATGGCTTTGCTAAAAGCGGTAATGGCGTCTCATCATCCTGGGGAGGCAGTTGTGCTCGCCGTGCAGGCGCAGAACGATTCCGAAAATGCTTCCCAATAAAGGCCGAGACTGTCCGGCGCTGTGTCTGCGTTGGTCGGGGATTAGGTTGGTTATAGTTCACGAATATAAGATTTTGACTTTCAGCCATGGTTGTCAGCAAAGCTTCACCAGAATAACGACTAGATCGCAGGACCTAGCAAGGATGATCGCATAATCAAGATATGTGGGGGACGCTGTGAGTCATGCACTCTGGGGTCAAGGCAGCGCTCCGCAGAAAGGTCACAGGGTTTGACTGGTTTGCATCATGCTTGGCATCTGACTAATTGATGCCGTGACCGCCCACCTTATATAGAATATGACAAACTGAGAAGGTGGTCAAATACCACTAGGACCCTTCGGGATTGGCTTATTCATCGTTCACCCAATTTCCACCTAGTATGGTGTCATAACACGCCATAGTTCAACTATAAAGACCCCTGAGATCGCTCAACCGATCGGAGAACCTACAATCAATCATCTTATTCTGTTTGGACATCTTCAGTACTAGCCAGTACATCGATTCCTCATCCTGACAGTTATGAGCCCGGACTGCCTGACTGTATGAGAGAGATATATCACCTACCTGCTCTGTATCTCGCAGTCAACGAATCCCCGAAGCACCTAACACGGTCGGATACCCCTGAACGCTTAGCCACCCCTTGTGAGCTCTTACGTTCAGCACACAGCGAGATCCGCACCGACAAACATCCTTCGGAAACGTTATATGAGGAGAATTCGAGTGTCTGAGCTATATCTTGTGCGAAGATGTCTGATATCGCGAGGGAAGATCTGATGCAGGTCCCGCTTGACCAAAAGCTTCAGTCGGAAGCGCAGTGGAGGGTCTGGATAGGCCATATCAAGTCAGCGGCTGTTGCAGAAGATGTATGGGATTACCTTGATCCTGAGAAGACGGACGAGGAGGTCCTACAAGTGCCCGAGGCTCAGGAAGAGCCCTCACTACCCCGGGATAACCGCCAACGAGAGAGAGATATTATGGAGCTAGATGATGCTGAGCTGAAGAGATACACGTTCGCTGTTCAAGCGTACGATCGTCGTAATCAGCGCCGGCAGAGGTTGTTAAAGACTATGTCACGATTGAATGGCCTTATCACCCGCTCGCTAGCCACAGAACATCACTATCTCATTGTGGGAGAGGACTCACCGCGGAAGAAGCTACTGAAGCTATCTGAAACGTTCAAACCAAAACCTCAGAATCGACAGCAACAACTTCGCCGTGCTTGGAGAGAGATGATCAAACAAAAGCCTTCAGGTGATACAAACCACTGGTTAACTCAGTGGGTTAGCCTATTCGAAGAGGGCAAGATCGCGGGCATACCTGACTGCTCACTTGGAGATCACTTCGCGATACGAGACTTTCTTGACGCTATACAACCAATTGATGATGGCTGGTGCATAACCTGGCGCGAAAAGCTTGCAGATAAGGATAAATCTGTCACATTTGATGAAGTTATAGCTAGCTATCGCAGCCGCCGTGGAGATCTTACAGTCTCTGGAGGACGGAAGCAGCCCAAGATAGCTCTAGCTTCACTGAATGGTGAACCTGAGGCTAAGCCTGCAGAAAAGGCCTATCGCAAGAAATGTCCGTGTGGTAACGCACATCCTCAGCATCACTACTCAAAATGCTTCTATCTTGACGAATCACTTCGACCAGATGGATGGAAGCCAAGAGAGGGAACTGTTCAACGCATTCCTGAATACATAAAGCAGATGAGTCCTCAAGATCAGGAGAAAATCGCCAAAATACAGCAGAAAAACGCTAAATCAGCTCACCTTGCTGGTTCGGCTCAGCCAGAGAATCCGTCCTTAGCGTTCTTCGCTAATGATACTCGAGCTATCGCAGCGTCAGCAGTGGACGATGAGCTTCTCAAAGACAGCTGGATTCTTGATACCGGAGCCACCTGTCATATCTGCAACGACCGCCGACAGTTCTTGACCTATACGCCGCGAAATAGCACCGTTAAAACCGGTCAAACAGTGACGCCGATGATAGGCTATGGGCAGGTCAGGATCACTGGGAGACACCCTCGTACAGGCGCTACAGTGCCTATTACCCTGGATAACGTGTGGTACTCGCCTGGCTTCCACACAAGCTTGATCTCACTCTCTGTGATCGAAGACAAAGGATTCTGCTTCAAATCTGCTGAAAGAGCGATCTTTAAAGGCGAAGAGGCTGTTCTTGAGATAGGGAGATATCATGGTCTCTACACAGTCATATATGATCCGAATCACCGAGCAGCATTTTCGGTACGGCATTCGGAGAAGCCCCATCTCTCAGTAGCCTCAGCGCGGCGCTGGCATCGTCGGTTAGGCCACGCCTTTGACCAGAAGATTGAAAAGCTACCAGAGATGGTTGATGGAGTCAAAATCGATGGGATCTGCGAAGATAACCGTCATGACAACCCTGAGAGATGTGAAGTCTGTCAGCTAACCAAGGCCAAACGTCAGATCTCTCGCAGGACTACTGGAACACCGTACGGCAAGTATGGGCGTATCCACTTTGATCTTGTCCAGATCGACCCAGGTTATAATGGAGATCGCTGGATGACGCACTTCTACCTCGAGGGCGTACGCCTCCATGCAGCCTATACTCATGAGAAGAAGAACGGCTGTCAAGACGCGGTTAGTCAATTTGTGGCCCTAGCCAAGAAGCAGTGGAATCTTCCGATCCATGCCTTTCGATACGATAACGAACGCTCTGCGGGTCGTACAGTAGAGGATTTCCTGTCAAATGAAGGCTTTATCATTGAACACAGTGTCGTGGGTACCCCGGAACAGAATGGCTTCGCGGAGCGATCTGGGGGGGTGGTAATCACCATGGCTCGTGCTCTTATATCCGATGCAGGCCTTCCGAAGAATCTATGGCCAGAAGCTGTTAGAGCCGCGATATGGATCATCAACAGATCGCCCACGAAGTTGCCAGACGGCCGGTGGATAGTCCCTTACCAAGAGGCATTCCTTAATCAGCCACAACAACGTGTTAACCTCGCGAATCTGAGGATTTTCGGCTGCCGAGCATATGTGAGGAAGCAAGTTATTCCGAACGCAGCAAAGATGGAACCACGCGCCGAAATAGGCTATCTCGTTGGCTATGAAGCCTCGAATATCTGGAGGGTGTGGTTTCCACGCAGAGGAGCCGTACGATCAGTGCGAGATGTTGTTTTTGATGAGAATGTGTTCTTTAACACTCAAGAGCTAGAAAAGGAGCCTGTCAGCGATATCTTGGAATCCATGCCATTCGTTATCGACGACAACGAGGATTCTGACCAGGTTATTTCTGGACCAAGTCTGGATATACCTCAGCCAGAGAAATCAGCCACTCCAAAGCTAGTGGAGCCTCAACAGATGATATCACCGTCACCCACGCCATCCATTCAGCCTATACAGGCCTCGATGCCTCGCATACCACCAGAATCAATCCCAGGTGCCTTTCCGGAACCACCAACTCGTGATTCTCAAGATCAACTCACTGAACAACTTCAGAGAGAGCTCTCAGCCGCTACACCTACACAAGGGACTCGCATTGCGCCTAGAGACATCGTGGGAGATATCTCGACTCGGAACATTCTGTCAGGCTCACGTAAACGAACATCAAGAGATATCAGCAATTTAGCCTTCTCGGCAGACGAGGATGCTGAAGAGGGTATACTCGCAGCCTTTGCAACTGGCCTCAACGGATCTCACTCACACACGAGACCTCACCGTGATGATCTTCCCCCTGAACCCCGGAACTGGCGAGAGATGATAAATCACCCGTTCAACGAAGGTTTCCTAGCAGCCGCCGGCCTTGAGGTAAAAACTATCGAACGAAAAGGCACCTTTGATGTCATACAGCGTCCAAATGACCGCAGCGTGCAGGTGCTTCCGTTGAAATGGGTATTCAACTATAAATTCGATAGCGATGGATATCTCGCGAAGCTGAAGGCGAGAATCTGTGTGCGAGGAGATCTCCAGAAGCTCTCTACAGAAGAGAAATATTCAGCTACCCTCGCTTCCCGTACGGCCCGCACCGTTCTTGCCCTAGTCGCTGCATTTGACCTTGAAACACGCCAATTTGATGCCGTCAACGCCTTTCTCAATAGCTCACTGGATGACACAGTGATAACCGAGATGCCAGAGGGATTCAGACAGTCTGGACATTGCTGGAAGCTCTTAAGAGCTCTCTACGGCTTACGGAAATCTCCGAGGCTCTGGCAGCGCGAGGCCTCAAAGGTCTTGACTCAGCTAGGTCTCACTGTCGTTCAAGAAGACCTTTGTCTCTTCGCATCGGACGGCATTATCATATTCTTCTATGTGGATGATATAATCATTGTCAATCACCCATCTCAGCGCCAGCGTGCGGCAGACATTAGAGAAAAACTCAATGTAACATGGGAATTGAGAGACATAGGCGAAGCTGAGTGGTTCCTAGGGATTCGTATCGTCCGTGACAGACAACAGATGGCCCTCTGGCTCTGTCAGGACTCATACATCTCCTCTATGGCCAGCAGATATCACCTTACCACATATCGCCGCTTCGATACACCCTTACCACCAGCTACATTGAAGCCGTACGCTGGGCAGGCCACGAAGGAACAGATTCATGAGTACCAGGAAAAGGTAGGCTCCACTCAGTATGCCACTACCATCACACGGCCAGATGCAGCCAAAGCAACTTCCGCGTTAGCTCAATTCCTCACGAACCCGGGACCGGAGCATCTCGAAGCGATCAACCGTGTGATATCCTACCTATACCACACCCGTTTTCTTGCCCTTACCTACCGGCCACGCCGATCTGAGGACAACGAAGCCGTCACTCTCTTTAGTGATGCCTCGTTCGCTGATAATCCTGACCGGAAGAGCTCGGAGGGATACATATGCATCATTTTCGGAGGACCAGTTGACTGGAGAGCTAGCAAACAGCGTACAGTGACTACCAGTACTACCGAAGCGGAGCTACTGGCGATCTCTGAGACTGCAAGGAATATTAGCATGTGGAAACGTCTCTTTGAATCTATTCGCTTTGATCCAAAGCACGAGCTCGCTATCAGATGTGATAACCAGCAGACGATCCGGCTTCTCACCAAGGAAGCTCCTCAGCTGCGCACGAAGCTACGTCACGTTGATGTACACAACCACTGGCTCCGTCAGGAGGTCCAGGCAGGCAGAATTCTCATCAGATGGAGCGAAACAAAGGACATGGCTGCGGATGGGCTCACCAAGCTACTGCCGCGTCAAAAGCACGCAGAATTCGTTCAATTGATGGGCATGGAGGATATCGGAAACCTGCTCGATTAGCAGAGGATTTTTGGAGATTGTGCGAACGCTGAGGGGGTGTGACAAACTGAGAAGGTGGTCAAATACCACTAGGACCCTTCGGGATTGGCTTATTCATCGTTCACCCAATTTCCACCTAGTATGGTGTCATAACACGCCATAGTTCAACTATAAAGACCCCTGAGATCGCTCAACCGATCGGAGAACCTACAATCAATCATCTTATTCTGTTTGGACATCTTCAGTACTAGCCAGTACATCGATTCCTCATCCTGACAGCAACGTGTGCTTGCCGATCTCTCGTATTCCGATGACAACTCACTTCTTGAGGCCCGTCGGCCAATCCGAGAGCAAGGATTAGTGTCACACAGCCCCGTTTCACTGTTCGCGAGAAATATAGCTGAATGATTCTGCCAGTAGTGGGGATTTTCAATATTATTAATATGGTCTTTGACCGTCCCAATGCTCTTTAGGCTCTTGGCAGGCATGAAGTTGTGTTCTGATCGACCGGAAATACGAGGACCAAAATATTAGTTAGCCGAAAAGCAAAATGCTTATTAATTGACGAGGGGAATGACATATCAAAGTTTGGCAGGCCATTCCTGTCTTCAGGGGAATACTCTAAACTTGAGATTAGCCAAAAATTAATCATCGCTCAGAGATGCGCCATTGCAGGCACTGGAGCGCGGAAAATTGGCTAATATCATTTATAACCCGTTGAAATGGTAGGGGTTCCACGCAGCAAGGGCTGTTTGCTCTGTCGAGAGCGACGCATCAGGGTCAGTTTTCTTTCCCGATACTGGGCTCAGTACTTACAAAATTGATTTAATCAGTGTGATCTGTCCCGTCCCCAGTGTATGCAATGCCACAAATACGGCGTTTCATGTCCAGGATACAAGCGTCCTTGGCAATTCAAAGACGAGGGCCCCCGTCTCCAAAGGCGATATCCAAAGCAGTGGCCAGTTCTCAGTGGTAGCAAGACCAACCTCGAGGCTGTCCGTAGCAACAATGGTTCCATGCGAAAAGATCCCTCTACGTACACTTCGATCGATGAGCGAATTTATCCAACTTTGGTCCGTCAATCATTCATCGGCCAGCAACCACGAGTGTTTAAAGAATTTGTTTGCGCTGCCTTCCCGACTATGTTCTTCCATAATATATTTCGCTTCGGAGAGGGCTTTACCTTCCCAGACTGGGTTATGAGAAATTTTGGCTCGAAGCATTATTTTGATGCATCAGTCTTGTGTCTTTCCACAAAGTACCTGGCCTATCTCACCAAGAACCCGCGACTCCACCAACTCAGCCAACACATTTATTCACAGGCTTTGGGGGAAATCAGGAAAGCACTGAGCTCGGATGAGGTATCATCTGATTCTCTGCTTGTCACGGTTATTCTTCTCTCGTTTCATGAGATGGATACACGAACTACTCGAGATGCCTGGCTCTACCATTCTAGGGCAGTAAAACAACTAATGCTGAAGCGTGGAATTGATTCTCACTTGTCCGGTGCCGGACGCGTCTGCCACTTTGCATATAGACCCTTTATTATCGCTGCTGCATTTTGCGAAGGCGAGTCTTGTTTCCTGGACGAGGATGACTGGCAGAAACTGGCAAGTGACCTCCGAACAGAAGACTCGCAGAAGCACGGTGAATGGTCATTCTACGTCAGCGTTTACGAGACGATTTTTATGGAGCTGGTCAAATGTCCAGGATATGTTAAGGAGGCACGTAAAATTGGCACCGTGACCTCGATCAATACCGGGCTGTTAGCACAGCAAATTCGTATCACCTGTGACCGACTCCGGATTTTGAGCAACGAGTTGCGATCGATGCTTGCGTCCTACAATCAGCGGAAGGACGGGATAATCTTTGAGAGGTTCGTCGGGCCAGAGCCCAATGCCTTTCCTGAAACGAGTCCTTCCCTTCTTCTCGGTGCCGCTGTCAGTGCTATTAGCATTCTTGAACAATTGTTCACTCGATTGACTACACTTGCCCGTAGTCAGGAGACCCCATCAACCTCGTCAACGTCGCAAAGTGTCAATACACCTGATGGTGGTGGTCAGCTTCTTGATTTTCATTTCGCCTGCGAACTTGGCGGGGGCACTAAAAAGGATATTTCGCACTCCTTTACCTGGCTCGACCGAGTCGCTGGTTCAATGGGAATGTTGGGAGCAGAAATCAATTATGGGAATGCAGTTGAGGGGGGGTAGTCTTATTCCAATGCGCTTCTATATAATTTGCCAGACGACTCGTCCAAAATGATTACAGTCTGTTAGTCTAGGACGTGGTATTCAGCCATTAGGAAAGGCTATATATGCAACGAGAGGATCAATCCCGTGCATTGATAGACAAGATGGTATATGTCTGATATAAGACTCGAGAAACAAGAAGCATCAGGAAATGAAACCTGGCAGACATTTCGAAGATATTACGGCCATTCTTTTATTTCCCAACCGCTTCAGCGTTCTATTCTCAGCAAGATAATGTCCCTACACAACCGCAGACATCGTATTAGACGCTCTTGCCGAGACAGGCTTGAAGTTATGGAATGGCCTGCTAAATCACCTGATTAAAATCAAATTGAGAACCTCTGGATGGTATTGTCGGTGGTGCCTCAGGCTACCGCATAGCCTGAGGATCCTGGCAGAACGGCAGCCCCTCCGTGGTTAATCATCAACCTTTCGATAACTAACGTAATCCACTAGCAAGTGAGACACACGGGCGCGTGAGACAGAAACCGCGGTCGCGCCCCAGCGCGTCAACCTCCTCATTTCAACTACCCACTATGCCCCCAATTCGCAGTCAAATTCCTCAAAATTCTATCAACCAAGAAGGTAGGATCCAGCTCGCAATACAAGCCTTTCAGAACGAAGAATTTCGATCAATTCGCGAAGCTGCGCGCCGATTTCAAGTACCTACCGCAACTCTCCATCGCCGATACAATGGCAAACTTCATCGGTCGGAAACCCGCGCCAGCAATTATAAATTGACTCCAACTGAAGAGGAATCGCTCCTACGGTGGATACTCTCTATGGATACACGTGGATCAGCTCCCCGGCCTTGTATGGTAAGGGATATGGCCAATATTCTACTAGCAGAGCGTGGTAGTCAGACTGTTGGAGTCAATTGGGTTTACAGATATACAGAGCGCTATGATGAGCTCAAATCGCGGTATTCTCGTCGATATAATTATGAGAGGGCAAATGCGAAGATCCAAGGGTTATTAAACCATGGTTCGACCTTGTACGACGCACGATCGATGAGAATGGTATCCAACCTGAGGATATCTACAATTTTGATGAAACTGGCTTCGCAATGGGGCTTATAGCCACTGCGAAAGTCATTACAAGAGCTGAATACTATGGTCGGAGGTCAGTTCTACAGCCAGGGAATCGCGAATGGGTCACATCGATTGAATGTGTGAATTCAACGGGCTTTATACTCCCACCATGCATTATCTTCAAATCGTCAAAGTACCAACAATATGCATGGTTTGATGACCTACCCGACAATTGGAGAATCGAAATCAGTGAGAATGGCTGGACTACAGACGAAATTGGGCTTCGATGGCTAGAAAAGCTATTTATCCCTGCGACTACTAGTCGTACTAGGGGTAAATATCGACTACTAGTTCTCGATGGCCATGGCAGTCATTTGACCCCCCGTTTTGATCGATTGTGCGAGCAAAATGATATTATTCCAATCTGCATGCCTCCGCATTCGTCTCATCTACTACAGCCTTTGGATATAGGCTGTTTTGCCCCCCTAAGGCGCGCGTATGGGAGCTTGATTGAGCGCAAAGCACGGTTGGGGGTCAACCATATCGACAAGTGATTTCCTTGCAGCATTCCCACAAGCTCGCAAAGAGGCCTTTAAACCAGAGACTATTCAAAATGCATTCGTCGCAGCTGGTTTAGTACCATATGATCCCGATCAGGTCATTTCAAAGCTTGATGTTCAACTTCAGACACCTACCCCCTCAGGTAGTCGACCAGGGAGCCAATCGAGCGCGTGGAGCCCTAAAACGCCGGCAAATCTCAAACAATTGAATCGACAGGGCTCTTCAATCAAGGCACTGCTTAAGAAACGTTCGCAAAGCCCTCCGACGCCTACGAATAAAGCTATTGATCAGCTCCTCAAGGGCTATCAGCAATCGTTGCATTCTAATGCAATCCTTCTAAAGGAAGTCCGCGATTTACGGGCTGAAAACGAGACACAAAAGCGAAAACGCAACAGAACGACTAAGCGCGTAGCTCATACGGAGGGTTTTACGGGCCAAGAAGCCAGGGAGTCGATGAACCAGGCTCATGAAGCTCCTAATACTGCCCCCGCGGAACCAGCTGCGTCAGCTTCCCAGCCAATTACACGCGCACCCCCGCGATGCAGCGACTGTCATCAAATAGGGCATAAAAGAACGCAATGCCCTGATAGGTCTAATAGATAGAAATTTGAAATCAATGGCGTTGTTGGTTTAATAAATTGGGTTGAAATTATAGTAGCTGGTTTTCTGTCTCACGGGCCCGTGTGTCTCACTCGCTAGTGGATTACGTTAACTAACTAGTGATGCGGTGAAGGGACTCTGCAGGGGGAACCCTGTTATAAGTTGCATAATCTCGTATTCCTGTCTCTACCCCTCTTTTGTGGGGCTTTCCCCTCCCTTTCGAGAGAAGAGACTGTATATAAATTGAGTCACAGTGGGTTATAGAAACCCTAAGAAACAGACTTGAAGCAACTTGGGACTTAGTGCTTTCTTCTCCTACCTAATTGACAGGCCTTCTACCCTGTAAGGTAGATCATACCTTTACACTCTACCCCGAGCTTAAGATGCGAAATAATGAGGCTACACACGCTCTGCTAATCCGCGCTGCACAGGAGGCGTGGAACGCGCTGGTCTGCGCGTCGTGGCGAACCTCTCTGCTACTGTGTCGCATCGTGTGACGTAATTTTGGAGGTCAATGAATGGTATACTCGTTTTTAGACATGGATGGAATTTTCTGAATAGGCAGAATCGACCGGCAGAATAAAAGGTGGGTCTAAGGGGCCCACGGACTTTGTTCTGCTAAAATACTACAAATAACGCTAGCTGTAAATATTGAAACCATTATACTAGAATAATACACTTGCAATGAATTAAGCCCTTCTGAATAAATCATTGTGAATTGCCAAGACATTTCTCCAGACCAGATACTGCCTAAAACTCAAAATCGGGTGGTCTTTTGGTATGTCGGACTTTCGGATATCGGTATCGACTAGTACTCGCGAGGGGCCAATTGAACCATCTCAGCGTTCGATTGATTGACTGAAGAACTATCTCTCGGCTCCCGTTCAGGATGCCATCTATTCAGGGTTTTTTAGTGTGTTACAGCGCTGCTTTTTCGAGAATACCCGATTACCATACAAAACAGGTAGGAGATTGGGTATCTGCTGAATCATCCTGCTCCTGATTGTAACTAATATCAGTCTCTCCGATCGACATGGTAGACTACTATACAAGGAGCTACGCCGCCTCTTGATTGATATGTACGTAAGACTTATTTAGAATTCGTCCTTTTTATTACATCTGCAGATATTTTCCGCGCAGGAATGGGCTCCGTATCAGATTCATTTTACCATGGCTTTTGCAGCAATCGGTCTGACCAAATCCAAAATCATTTCGCACTATTGAGAAACTCTTCGTCGAACCGTGCCGTACCTCTGAGAGTGCATCGGCGAATCCATATATGTATCCATCATTCGATCCCAGAACGTGGTCAGTTGTCCGAAGTTTCTCTTTGCATTGAGGTGATGGACCGTGTGAAAGCCCCCTCCACTGTCATCTGAACCTTGTATTTTAATTTCCATAAACGAAAGTTTGGCAGTGTTGCTCAACGTACGGCTTATGAGTGTCTCCAGATTCCCGTAAAGTAGAAGGAGGAGATAGGCAGTCTTGGATATTGGTATCAAAAAGGGTACCAGTAGATTCGGTAGGCTCATGATGCATGCTTCGAAAGGATGGAAGGCGAAAGCAGCAAAGGGTGTAGAAATAATGAACCTTGATTATGAGCTTTTTGCCTTATTGAGACCTCAAATTTGCGTACCTGTGATGCTTCTTATGCGCCCATGAGAATAGAAGCGGGCTGTGGAACGCCCGATGCAGCCAGTATATTCCAGTATCCATGAGCAGAACCGACAACGGGTACTGAAAGATCTCATACCAGAGCCCGGGTCCATCAGCCATCGTATGGTAGAGGAATGAATAGCCATTAAGCTGCAACATAGTAATGGGGACGCTGATAAAATCCATTGCGATAATAGCGAGGACTGATTCTTGAATTTCCATTCGGATTTGATAGCGTCGAAATCTTGGATCTTTTCGTAGGGCGTGGTCAAAGCGAATGAAATACCAGCATGTGCCGAAAAGAAGGAAGATGAGAAGATGAGCCGATCTGTAGGTGGAATTAGAATATACACAGTCACGTTTTGGGACAATGTTACATAGTCAGAACAAAGATGCTGCAACTTTGCTGGGGAATGGATGGACGATCGTAAGAATATTCCCGAGGAAAGTGACACATTTGGCTTTGCAAATCTGTCAACGATAAACTGTTATTTGACGCCGCAGTGTTAGGTCCAAAATTTGATATAGAGGTCCCTGAATCGGCTTTCATACAGGGCCTGCTATAAATTGGATATAAATAATCCCGGTCAACAATGGCCAGGACGACGTTCATTTTGCAGCCGATGCCACTTGACGTGAAAATCCTTTCTTCTTGGTTTGCCTGTTTGTGACTGCTGAGAGTTAAATACCATCAACCGTCGATCTTCGTTAACGATACGCATTTGGCGACTTTCCGTGTATAGTCGTATACGCAAGTTCAGGCGATTTTGATTCGCGCGTGCTCTCCAGCGATGGAGCGAGCGTGGTGAGGGTGGTGGATCAAAATCTAGCCCGTTAGCTACCTTCCTGGCTAGTAGACATGTTGACTAGTCGGTTGATTGGTTGATTGATGGCAACTTGGGGAAAAAGATTCAATGGTCAGAGTCGAATCTCCTTGTAATGTAGTTACTAAGCGAGTGAAGCGCCCCGCCAAAAATTGCGTCCCGACGCGGCCCACTATTTTCAACCACCCACATGCCACCAAAACACGATCAATCAAGCCATGGTTCAGCAAATCGTGAGGGCCGAATCTTATTTGCTGTTAAGGGGCTTTTCAAAGCGGCCAATATCCTAGTCTTCGTGCTGCAGCCAAGACATATAACGTATCTGAGGCTGCAGTCCGCCGCCGATGTGTGGGCCAGACTTCTCGCGCGGATACACGCGCTAATAGTCATAAATTGACTAAGTTCAAAGAGGAATCGCTTGTACAGTGGATACTCTCAATGGGTTCATGCGGTGCAGCGCCCAGTCCCTCAAGTGTGAGAGAAATGGAGCATATTCTACTTGCCGACCGTGGAAACACCCCCCCACCAACAGGTGGAAAAACGCATCAAATTTTATCAATCGCAAAAAAGAGCTTCAGTCTTTGTTCTCAAAACTCTATGACTATCAACGTGCTCAAAATGAGGACCCAAAGGTCTTACGTGTTTGGTTTAAAACCGTTCAAAATGTGATCAATAAGAACGGCATCCAATCAGATGATATCTACAAATTTGATGAGACTGGATTCGCGATGGGCCTTATTTTAGCACAAAAGATGGTTACTCGAGCCGAGTATCATGGCCGTCAGGCAGTTCTACAGCCAGGAAATCGAGGATTGGTGACTGTTATCGAGTCAATCAGTGCGGCTGGTTTTGCTCTCCCACCATGCATAATTTTTAAAGCCAAAAACCACAACATTAGTTGGTTACGGGCTTCCAAAAGACTGGCGAATCGAAGTCTCTCCAAATGGCCGGACTTCAGACGAAATCAGTACCAGATGGCTTCAAAATCTATTCATCCCACTCACCCTAATTCGGATGAAAGGAACATACCGCCTTCTGATCCTTGATGGCCGTGGGAAACCGAGACCTTCACACCGGCGCAGACCATCCGGCCGTCGAGCGTCGGGCCGGTACCAGACATCACGCCAGCAACCAGAGACCCGCTGGAGCAGGCCACCTGCGTAGGAGAATTGGAGGCAGCGCAGGAACATCATCATTATCCGCGTATGCTCCCACGTGACAAAATGACGGTCGTTGATGCTGTAGACGCTCTCAAAGCCCACACAGAACTTATTGATATTCCAGTGGAACCAGAAGAGGAGGGTGGAGGTCGGGAGCGAGTAGAAGGGCTGCAGCTCGGATGGCGCCTCAGGCAGCCTCGATTGCTGGAGGTTGCGTTCGCGGAACTGCTGGTCGATCGCATGGAAGAGCTGAAAGGAGACACGATGCTCTTCACGAAGGCCAAAGACTTTGAGATATGACCCTTGCAGAGCGGCATAGCACCGCTGCTTCATGTTCAGATACGCCCGTATCAACGCAACAGGGTCGTGGCTGAGCCCACCCCCAACGTACTGCCAGGTTTTGCGCAGCTGCGGGTCGAGTGCCAACGTCTCGATCGAAGGGTTGGTGAAGGGGTACACGTCACCGGCCGCAAAAACCTCTTTCACGCTAGAATACATTTGCGTGTAGAGAAGACCACCCTTCCGCTGTGGAGAGGTCCGACGGGTCTCCAAAGTCAAGCTCCCACTGTCGTGGAGAAGACTGATCGGGTAGAACTGCTGCCGCGGCCGAGGAGATTCCGGGGGGTGCTGTTGGCCAATCCACTCGGCGTACGAGTCCAAGCAACATCGTCGCCAGAGGAGAGTCTGCGGTAGAGGAGAATGCGAGCGAGGGCCCTGTCCCGTGCGGCGTCGGGACGCGAGGAGCCCATCGCCACCAACCCGTGAAAAGCCATCGGGGCAGGTCTCTTTCCCAATGTCGACGTAGGAGTTGTCCGAGAGATAGCATCCATCGATGGCGATGTCCCAGTGCCGGGTGAACAGCTGCGTCATCCCTTCCCACGTGTGGGCCTTGGTCAGCGTCTTGAGGTTTTTGCCTTGGACGAGGATGGTCAGGTCCTTGAACTGTTGGAGCCCCTCGCGTTCGATCGTCTCTTGAATCGTCGCCCAGACGAGGGACAAAGCCTCGGGTGGAAGGAAATAGAACAGCAGCTGTTGGCGGGCAGCGGGATCCACTCGCTGCGAGCGTGTCTCGAGCCCCCGCGCCGTCGCATTCAGACGGCTGTGGTCGAAGCTGGATGGATAATGCTGGACCAGGGAGCCCTCGTAGTGTTGGTAGATGGCTGGAAGGAGACACTGGTCCATCCAAATCCGAAAGTCCTCATCCCGCAGACGGCTCGATTGCTGCTCCTCCCGGAAGAGTCGTGGGAACAGGAAGTAGATGGAGATATCTTCGAATCCGACCAATCGACCAAACGTGTAGTGTGGGATCATATGCACGGGTCGGCGAACATGGTGCATGCGCCCATCGCTTCCAGAATAGTGGACCAGGAGAGGATCAAGATGGAGGCCGGAACGAAGATCAGTGATGGCCATCTGTGTTGGGTTCCAACGGACTCCCAGTTTGGCCACCGCGAGGCTACTCGCAAAGCCGACAACACTGTCAATATCGAGGGTGACTCCGGCTGGACGTTGCGTCTCGTGGTCTGCGGCGAGGCAGACATGGACCGGATGAGCGTCAGATGTAGATGATGCGGGTGGAATTCCAGTGTAGATTTCACGCTTTCGCTCTGCGGTGGTCTGCCCAACAAGATCATCCTCGCGTCGAGCCATGGTTGGTACACGGAGGACATCGGGAAATTCTCCCTCCGCCTGAGCGCGGTCCATGTACTCTCCTAAGCCAGGGTGCTCCGAATGCTTTGCGTCATGTTCCCGCTCGCGCTGCTCATGGCATTGGCGGCAGCAGCCATGGTGCTGCTGAAGCTGATCAGTGAGGACCCGAGCGAGGTCGTCAATAGAGTCGGGGGAGTTAGTTATAACGACCTCTAGTGGAGTGGGTGCTGATTCCACAGATACTTCGGTCGCTTGGATGGGGCTTTCGGTGGTCTGGGGGATGGTATCATTAGTCTCCAGGATGGGGCTGTTTTCGGTCTCTGGGATAGGGCTCGCTCGGTTAGTTTCACTTTGTGTACGTTCTGGCGAGTGCGTGATGGTCTCATTGCCTTGGTCTGGCATCGACTCTCCTAACAGCCCCTCTTCTATAGGCGCGGTGTCTAGTGCAGACAATTCCCATGGGTCCAGCCCGGGGCTAAGGGGTGGTAAAAGTTGCTCAACCTCGGTAGCGATGGAGATTTCACCTGGAGGAAAGTAGGTGGAGAGAGGTTCATAGGTGTCGGCAGCCCGAGTGTGTGGTATGGAATAGTATTCATCGAATTGCCGGGCGCGGTCTGTAGCGCGAGCGGACTGACGCTGGTCTCGCTGTTGTGCTATCTTTGACGCTTTTCTTTCCTCCGCAGATGCGTACTTGGTAGGTCGACCTCTCTTTCTTTTTGGTGGATGGTGGCAACAACTCTTTTTCCTCATCTGTGATCAAGACCACTGGTGGTGTCTCTTGATCATTGCCAATGCCACAGAATGGTTGCCGGCGGTCGGTAGCAGACCAATTTTTGGTACAGGTAGTCTCTGCATCAGGTAGTTGTGGGCTACCGAGCACCTGGGGGCAGTGCCACTTTTGCAGATCGGCCAGCCTGATGGTTGGGATGGAAGATCTCTCCTGATTAACCAGCGGCTCCATTGGCTGCTGATGACACTCAGGGCAACAACCTTGGAACTGCAGGATCTGTTGTGCTAGTCGCACCCCAAGGCTATCAAGGTTCTCAGTGCCAGTGCTCAATTGATCAGACTGTGGATAGCCATTGTCGCTATCCCCTGATCCATATGCGCTATCTGTCAGGTCATCTGTGCCTGAGTCTGCTGAAATTTCAGGAATGCCAAATAGGAGCGGTTCATAGTCAGCGGCCGAGATAGGGCCTTCAGTGGGCTCATCATCATCTGGAATTGCTTCAGCAGACAGGTTATACCTGATAGTTGCCTCCGCCCGTTGCAGAGCATTTCCGCCATCAGAATCGAACCCACTAGGATCATCCAGCAAGAAGTCATTATCATTGGATAAAGGCAGTGAGCCTTCCGGTGTGAGGTGTGGCTCTGGTATAGGCCCCGCATCAAGTGTATCTGGAGCAGCTGCAGGCTCAGGGGCGGTTCCGGACTGTGGAGGTGAGTCTGCGTCTTGTCTTGGCTCATGTGGTTGAATGACCGGTTCTAACACTGCAGTCAATATTAAGAAAGTTGCGGTGCGTAATCAAATTGGCAAATTATATCCATCTTACGTGTTCGTGGACGTGCTGGGACCGAAGTCTCCTGGGATAGCACTTGAGCTCGCTTTTGTTGCTGATAGCGGAGCCGTCGAGCGGCGTTTCTCGCAGCCCTTGTTTTGTATGTCGTTGTAGGTCCTCTTCGACCCATTATGCTAGATTTTAAAGGGTGGCCAGGACAGCATAGGATGAGGTAGCATGGTTGGCCCTCATAAGTGTGAGAGGTGCATTTGTCAACTTTTGACAGCGCAGTCCACCCCTGATGACACACCATGGACTGGATATATTATTTCTTGGCACTGAGCACAACAATCAGCGCTCACTGGCAGAAACATATGTGTGTGCACCGCGAATGGCAGTCAATGGATCTAGATTTGTGTGTTCCATGATTAAATTGGATCATGATATCATATGTTGATGATTATGCGACTGTCTAGTTGTGAGAATACAAGTTTTGGATGCTTACTGCCTCCTGTTTGCGCCTAGCACAACAGACAGAACCCCGGCCAGTAGAGGGAATGGCACGTGACTAGTCCGGGTTTTCGTCCGAGTTTCTATTCGCTGAGAGTATTTCATCTTTCCTGCCACCAATTTTCAATAATATGTAAAAAGAGAAATGGTTTTAGAGTGTGGCGGATGCGGGCCTTCTAATCATACTAAAATAATCTCCATCCGGGCGTTGTGGTGTTGTGGTCACCTGCCACAATTTGCCTGTTGGAGAGCAATTTAACAGCCTGGCAGAAATACAACACTTTCTGTTCGCCTAATTAACCGGACCTAGTACCAAAGTGCCACCGTTCCTTTGTTCCGAAACATCAACTTCTGAGGCTCTCACCTATCGATAACAGCTTCTCGGAATGTATCCTATTAGAGGAAAGATCGTCAGCCGCCCCCCCCCCCCCCCCATATGTTGTTATTTTGGAATACGAAGTGGGACAAATACAACCCAAGAAGATGATGATCACTACTCGGCAGTTTTTCAGATATTTACGGATCGCCTAACTACCAGATCATATTGAAATGAATGTCGTGTTTGAGCCCCACAGATTTCCCGCCTCTCGATCAGTTCCTGGTTGGGAGCTAAGAAATTAGTTAAATTAAGAGGAGCTCCCTTCGTTTCATCTCCTGAAGAGCTCAACAGGAAATCGCCTATACACTACAAGGAAAGGGGTGTTTTATTATCTTGGCGCTTAGCGTGCCAAGGCTCACAGTCGCGGTTGCTCAAACATCAGAGGTACACAAGGCTCGGCTCGTATAAGCCGCTGTCGATCTCTGTAGATCCCACATCGCGTAGTCTAAAAATGTCGGTCATCTCCTCGTGTATGCGTATATATTTAGTCCTAGATCTTAGTGTTTGCTTTTTCTGGTTGCAAATCACGAGCATCGAAAGATGATTGATGATTATGGTCATGGTATCTCCACTCTCTCAACTCAAAGGGTCGAGATTCTTCTAAAACCCTCCAGTTAGTTAGGTTTGACTACATACAGGATGTTGCATCGTCCGCCCGAACACGAACCGCAGTTGTTCGATCGACATCGTATACTTGATGACTACTGCCGATCTATGTTTTACTGCAAACGCCAAGGCAGCAGAGGGGCGATTGTTGTGTGAACACGAGAAGACCTCAAGTGGAAGTACTCATCTGAATGACCAAGCTATCCTGAATCTCGACCATAAATACCCCCTCTCGCCCGCTGTCCTCTGCTCATCTTATCAACAACAACCCATCGAATTTCTATCCAAACCTACTCCAAATCAAGTTTCAATTTTCAATTTTCAAGACATCAGTCTTCAACCAACGAAACAATCAAAATGCAGTTCTCCACCGTCTTCCTGGGCGCCGTTGCCCTCTTCAGCTCTGTTGCCTTCGCTGCTCCCTCTGAGAACCTCCGCGTCCGCTCCTCTTGCCAGGTCGGCGATATCTGGGGTGCCGGCGACGCTGCGTGCAGCGCTTCTGTATGTTTCCTTCAGCTTGACAAACCAATCTCTATTTTCAGGATCTGACAATATTGTAGTGCATTGCCCAGGGTGAGGGTTACCACGGTGGCCACTGTGACGACAACAGGTGAGCAATCTTTCCTTCTGGGGTTAAGGTAGACTTGCTTGGTTTACTGATAGCTTGGTTTTAGTGTCTGCGTTTGCAACTACTAAACTAGTGCCGTCTCTTGGAGAGCCGGAGCCTTGGTCCTGATTTGCTAGGATAGTGTGGAGGCGGAGGAAGTTGAGTTTACAGGGAATAGTGAGAGACGGTTTCTGATGTGGACTTGTTTTCTGACTTAACTCTCTGTACTCGTGAGAGTTCAATTTTATATTCACTGTCTTTCCTCACGTTCTTTCTAGTGGTTGGGATTACGATTTTGTCGACAAAATTATTGCTGGCGTAGGTCCTTTTCTCGTTCTATCAGATGACACCATGGCAGTCCCTTGTCCTCAACAGAGTCTAACTGTCTTCCGCTTCGGTTTCTGATGCGAGCGACGGATTCCTATTTTTTGATTTGTCTAACTGTAGTGTATTCACACCTCACACTACGTCTCTGAGACCTTAGAGCCCTTCCTTCAGTTCTTTGGGCAACCAGTCTTACGTAATACTATCTTTACCGCCGGGAATTGGTAACGTAGTTCCCAAGCGAACCGCCCACCCAAGCAAGCCGCCCACCTGACCCACTACTAAATTTTCAAAAGTAGATAAAAGTACCGAAAACACTATGAATTCAAAAACTATCTATTAGGGCACCGGGTAATTGAATGGCCAATAGTATTGCAGCCGCTACATCTCCGGGGTGCACGTTTGGCTGGTGGGAGTGGCAGGATAGGCGATTTAACTGGTGCGGGCGGAGGCTGTTCAACAGGTTCAACTGGCTGCACTGGCTGCACTGGTGATGGTAGGCCCTCTTCAACTGTAATACCCTACTCATATCGAATTAGGCGATTCGTTCGTGCCCGTTTTTGCCGTTTCTTCTCATTCGCAGCCCGTAAATCAGTAATTTCCTGAGCTTGTAGCACGTTGGTATGCATTGAGATACAGCAGCCCTTGATAATCTGATCTAGGACAAGCTTTGATGGGGAAGGAGGGCTTCTTGATCGTTTTTTAAGTAGTTTTTTGAGTGAAGAGAACTGCTTCTGTAGTTGTTTGACTGTTTTCAGTGTTTTTGGACTGAATTGGCTAGATCGGCTGCTTGGGCGGCTGGGTGGTGGTGTTGGTGTTCGGAGTGAAATATTGAGCTTTGAGAGCACACGCTCTGGGTCTAGTGGAACTAGACCAGCTGCTGTGAAACTATGTTGAATAGTCTCTAGCTTAAAGGTCTCTTTTCGTGCCTGAGGATAACTTGCTAGGAAATCTAGCTTATCAATATGTTGAACCCTAGCCGTGCCTGATTGGTAATCAGACGACCATAGGCACGCGTAAGGACAGCAAAACATCCAATATCCAGAGGTTGAAGATGATGGGATGAATGTGCTGGCATGCAGAGTGGGATGACTGAGTTTTCTGCACAAATTCGGTCGAACTGAGGCGTAAGATGGCTACCATGGCCATCAAGAATCAGAAGGCGATCTTTTCCTTTCATCCGACTTGAGGTGAATGGGATGAATAGTTTTTCAAGCCATCGGATGCTAATTTCATCTGAAGTCCAACCATTAGGTGAAACTTCAATTCGCCAGTTGTTTGGAAGCCCTTCAAGCCAACTACTGTTGTGGTTTTTGGCTTTGAGAATGATAGTTGGTGGTAGTGCGAAACCAGCTGCACTGATTGCCTCAATTGCAGTTACCCACTCACGATTTCCAGGTTGTAGAACTGCCCGGCGACCATAGAAATCTGCTCGTGTAACCACCTTCTGTGATGATATAGCCCCCATTGCGAAACCAGTCTCATCAAAGTTATATATATCCTCTGATTGGATGCCGTTCTCATTGATCACAGACTGAACAGTTTTAAACCATTCACGTAGAACCTTTGGATCCTCATTTTTCGCACGTTGGTAGTCATAATGTCTCGAAAAGCGGGTTTGTAGTTCATCTCGGCGTTTGATGAACGATGACGGCCAGTTAACACCCACAGTTAATGGTTGGTCATTTCCACGATCAGCCAGTAAGATATTGGCCATATCTCTCAGATGAGAGGGCCTAGGCGCTGCACCACGAGCGTCCATAGAGAGAACCCACTGAACTAGTGTATATTCTTCAAAACTAGTCAATTTTTGACAGGGTGGGCGTGTAGCAGCGCGTGGCGATCGCCCATTAACACGTGCTCGTAGAGTAGTATATGACACATTATATAATGATGCGGCAGCGTGAATTGACTTGATCTATTTGTTCTGAACGGCCTGGATGGCTAATAAGAGCCTACCCTCACGATTGACCGAATCGTGGCCTGATTGACGAGGGGTGGATGTCATGGTGGGTGTTTGAAGATGGCGGGTACGCGTGGGAAGGCGCTTTTTGGCGGGGTTGACCGCTCACCCGTGTTAACCGTTCACCCGTGGATTACGTTATCTGGTAACGCGCTGCGATCGTGCGTATAGAGTCGGTAGAGCCATTCGGAATATCTCTGATAACTGAGAGGATTCGGCCTTCCTGTTCAATCGAGTTTCGGCTTGATTGAGCGTGTTTTGGTGGCATGGTGAGTGGTTGAAGATGGTGGGTACGCGTCGGAACGCGTTTTCGGTCGAAGTGGGCGGTTCGCTTGGGTGGGCGGCTCGCTTGGGAACTACGTTATAAACCCTCAATCTTCCTCTGAATTACAACAAATATAACCTGAATGGATATGTGTACGCACCGGCGCGGGCTAATGCATGCTTTGCTGGCACCGCGTCGATTCCCACATCTACTGCTATATGTCTGGGATAGAGGTGTCTATCATTCCTTTCCGCGTCATGAGCGTCCATGATCGACTTTTTGACGAGATGATGTTATGGTGGAGGGCCAAGTCCGGCAGGCACCAAGATTTGGAGCCGTATAGCCAGATCACGTGACAGTTCTCATGATGACTCAGCGGTGCCACCCTTGCGTTGAGGATGAAAGTGAGATGAGGATGGCATTGGCCGGAAGCGGTTCGTTGGGTGACTGCGCCCCTGTGCTAATCCAGTGTCTGGGGTAACCGCAATGGACTCAAGTACTACCTACACATACTACACTAGGGTTTACGGCGTGTA